ACTTCTCCGGGTTACATGTTGTATTTTCTCAGAATATCAAATGTCTCTTGGAGATGTTTCAGATGATCTCCTGCATTAAGAGACTTAACTAATATGTCATCAATATAAACTTCATTGTCTTACCTATCTATTTTTCAAATATTTTATTAACAAGCCTCTGATAAGTGGCTCCGATATTATTAAGCCCGAAAGGCATCACATTATAGAAGTATGTGCCAAAATTTGTGATAAAAAATATCTCCTCTTGATTTTTCGGGTCCCTCCTAATTCGATTATACCCAAAATAAGCATCAAGAAAACTCATTAACTCATGATCGGCGGTAGCATTAATTAGTTGATCAATGTTTGGCAACGAAAAAGAGTCATTGGGGCATATCTTATTTAAAATTTTATAATCTACACACATTCTAAATTAATTATTTTTTTAGGTACTACCACTATGTTAGCTAGCCAATCGGGGTAATTTACTTACTGAATTGAACCTATATAAAGTAACCGGATTACCTTTTCCTTGACAAACTTGTTTCTAACCTCTACTATCTATCGTTTCTTCTGACTTACCAGAGGGAAGTTAGGTTCCAAGCTTATCTTGTGGACAACCACTTCTAATGAAATACTTGTCATATTTGAATGCGACCATGAAAAACGATCAACGTTAGATTTTAGAAAATTCATAATTTTTAACCTGAGTTCGGGACTCAACCCCGTTCCTAAGTGGAATTTTCTTTACAAGAACTCTTCGAACAAGACCACTTGTTTGAGCTCTTCTGCGATTGATTTGGCCGCCTTCGTCTCATCTGGTACCTGAAAAGACCTCTGTACCTGATAAAATATCGATGACTCCTCATCTTTAATAGATGTGAAAGAAGGCATTGGTTCATGTAATTGCTATTTGCCCATTTCCTTGCCCTTGCTACTGAAAACGGTTACTACGGTCATCTCCCTTCCAGCCGATTGATCTCCTCTGATTTGTTTGATCCCTTCTGGTGTTGGAAATTTTAACAGTTGATGGTATGTTGAAGGTACAACCTTCATTTCATGTATCCATGGCCTTATAAGGATTACATTATAGCCCATTTCGCCATCTACCATTTCAAATAGGATGGTCTTCGTTATTCCTTCGGTATGTGTGGCAGCAAAATTTCTCCCCGGGCTGTCACACTAGTTAAGTTGAACCTGACAAAAAGCTTTGTTGCCGGAACTATATTTTCGGTCAGCTTTGTTTGCTCTATAATTCCCCATTTTATGATGTTGGATGAACTTCCTGGATCAACCAACACACATTTAATTTTAAAATCTAAAACATTAAGAGAAATTACCAAAGCATTATTGTGCGATAGAAGAAGTCCATCAACATCTTCTTCTGTGAAGGTTATGTCATCTTTTGGGACCTTGGACCCTCTTGCCATGAGTCATCGATATCTTCATCTTCTGTGATGCCGAAAATATCACCCTATTTACTTCTTCTCCACTGAAGATCATATTTATCGTCATACAAGGTGACCCTGCAATCGGTTTTGATTGTTCTGCAACATCCCGATTCCTCCCATAGTTGTTCTTGGCACGGTCACTCAAAAACTCTCTAAGATGACCATTCTTCAACAACATTGGTACCTCTTCACAATGATGTCGGCAGTCCCCAATCCTATGGCTGAGAATTCCATGGAATTCACACCATAGATTAGGATCCCTTTGGCTAGGATCCGATCGAATTGGTTACAGGAACCTAGCTTTTTAAATATTTCTCATAGCCGACACTAATTCTACCAAGCTGATGTTAAAATTGTAGTCAAATATTCAGGGATATGCTGCATCTCAAGACCCGGGATCTCTTTCTCCTGCAACGATCTGCTATTTTGACCACGATCCGCCCTTGTATCGGAAGTTAACCTATCCGATGACTGAAAACCTTTATTTCCACGCCCATCGGCCCTCTCGTAAGGTTGAAAATGACTTCTAGAGGACCTCTGATCTGCATCAAAAGAATTTTTGAACTTATCTTGATTCTGATCACGATTTCGTCCTTTGGAAGACACCAAAGAACCCAAGTGATCATCTTCTATTGTGATTTTTGACTCGTAGCGATTGTGAACATCTGCCCATGTGGTTGCCTGAAATTCTAGCAAGCTTTCCTTCAATTTCCGAGAGGCATAGAAACTCAATAGGTTAAGATGCTTTGTAAATGCCTCGGCTGCCCACTCATCAGGTATCACTGGTAATACCATCCTTTCTTTTTGAAACCGGATCACGAACTATCGCAATAATTCAGATTCTCCTAGGGATATTTTGAATATATGCGCCTTCCTTGTGTGGACCTTTCTTTCTCCAGCATGAGCTTTGATAAACGAATCTGCAAGCATTTTAAAAGAATCAATAAAATGCTAAGGTAAGATAGAATACCAAGTTAAGGCACCCTTTGATAGGGTTTCACCAAACTTCTTCGACAAAACAGATTCGATTTCGTGCTAGTCCAAGTCGTTTCCCTTTACTGTCGCTGTGTAGGTCGTAATGTGTTTATGTAGATCCAAAGTCCTATCATATTTTAGTATATCTGGCATCTTAAACCTCTTTAGGGTCAACTCTGGAGACGTACTTGGTTTTAAACGACAACTGCGTATACTTCTTGGAATCCGGTCCCTTTAACATCGACGACGCTCCCAATATCGGATCCATCCGAGCATGAAACTCTTTAGTGTTTTGGTCCATTCGTTCATTCATTTACCTCATGAATCTTATGAGCTCGGTTTTGAAAGGGTTATTTGAGTTGTTTTCCCAGATCCACCACCGGTACCTCCTACCTTGTTGAAATGGAGCTCCTCCCTTGGAGCGTCATTATAGGCTCCTTGAACCGTTTGATTTGCGCGAACGCTGGGAGGAATCAGAGCTCTTCCATTAGCATTATTGGAAGCACCCGATAACGCCTGCTTCAACTCTGTCATCACCCGATCTTGTCTTGAGAGGTGATCCATAATCGCTCGTTGTTGCTCTCTGTCACGACCCAAACCCCGGTCGTGATGACGCCCAACACATTGTTAAGCAAGCCCGACCATTCAACGACAAATCTCAACTTATGACAATTTAGGAATTCGAACACAAACACTAAATTACTAAACCATCTCATCAAACTACTATAAGTACGGAGTAGTATACTGAAAACCAACAAAAATACTAGAACATAACCCAAAACAGGATCCGGTGTCACGATCACGAGCCTCTAATACAGAGTGTCATCCTATAACAAGACTGTCTAAGAAACAGAATAATTAAAGATAGGATAGGAGGGAAGGATCAAGGCTGCGAACGCCCTGCAGCTACCTCGATGCTCCCGGTGAAATGCTGCTCAGCTAGACAGGTCCTCCCTCAGACTGTGATGCACCTAAATCCGCACACAAGGTGCAGGGAGTAAAGTGAGTACTCCGACTCAGTGAGTAATAAGCATAAATAATAACTGAAGATAAGAAATCACTGGAAAAAAACACAAGGCAACTATAACGGGCAGTACCAAACCTTTAACAGTAAAACCGGCAAGTCGATAAAGTAATAGTACAGAAAGAACCATGACAGGTAACAGGTAAGGGACGATGCAATGATGCAATGCAATGCAAATACCGGTATACTCCGGTACCCACTGCGGCGTGCAGTCCGAGCCAACCATATATTTTACGTCGATGGCGCTCACTGGGGGTGTGTACAGACTCCGGAGGGGCTCCTACAGCCCAAACGCAAATAAGCCATCTTGTGGCACCAACCAGGCCCTCGGCCTCAATATCACATAGTACTGCTGCGGCGTGCAGCCCGAGCCATCCATAAATCCAGAAATCACAATAAGCCCCTCGGGCACTTTTAAATCAGTAATCCACAACCCAAAATATCATTTAAAATATCATTTGAATTTTCAAGTTTAGAAAAAGGGGCTGAGTTTGCAAAAATAGTACTTAAAACCTTGGAATGAGGTTAAACAATGTGCAAAGTATGCAAATCAGTGAAATCAATCCCTGAAGGATCCAAATAACCGGCACAAAGCCCAAATACAACAATCAAATCCAAGTAACGATGATTTCCAACAAGTTCTAGTAGAAAAACACAATAAAGCATCACTGGGACGGACCAAGTCACAATCCCCAATAACCAACAGCCCCGCACTCATCATAGAGCGCGTGCCTCGCCTCAATGTAGCGGTACGATGTGAAATTCCGGGGTCTCAAACCCTCAGTACATTATTTACACCCATTACTCACCTCCAGCCGGCCCAAAGTCTAGCTCGCTATGCCTTTTCCTCTCGAATTGACCTCCTCGCGCGTCAAATCTGATCAAAATCACAAGGAATACATTACAATAGGCTAAGGGAATATAACCCAATCGAAAAGACTCGAAAAACATCGAAAATCACGAAGTTGGCAAAACCCGAGCCCCGGGCCCACTTCTCGAAAAATTATAAAATTCACATCATCGGATTCCTCGTCTCGCCACGAGTCCATACATATCAAATTTATCAAAATCGGAGTCCATTTGACCTTCCAAATTCCATTTTTAACTATAAAAACCAAGCCCTAGTTCTTCCAATTTTTACCCAAATTTCCAAGAATTAAAGGTTGATTCTTCAATAAAATGACGTTTCTAGGTCACGAGACTCACCTCCAATCAATCCCCGTCGAAACCCTCTTCAATTACTCCCAAAAAGCTCTCAAGGTGGTTAACAATGGAGGAAAAATGAATACACTCGCGGATGAAATATTCAAATAAAACCCTTTCTGCCCAGGTGTTTTACTCTACGCGAACGCGGCCACAACCCATGCGTTCGCGATGACCAATTATTAAGGCTGCCAAAAATGCCCTTCGCGAACGCGGCATCACCCACGCGAACGCGAAGGCCTGGGTCTTATATCAACGCGATCGCGAGCCCATAGACGCGAACGCGTAGGCCAAATTCTTGGCCCCTCAGATTTCCTCTATGCGAACGCGTGACACCAATCGCGAACGCGAAGCTTCGCCTTTCAATACTACGCGAACGCGACTAAGGAGACGCGAACGCGAAGACCAATTTCAAACCTCCTAATTCCCTCTACGCGTCGCGACCCTACCCGACGCGAACGCGATGNCTCATCGGTCGATTCATTCAAGTAATGTTGAATTTCATCCACATGTTCGCTCCATAAGGTTGCCACAATCCTGTTCCTCCTATACGTTGCATAGTAAGGTTAATATAGACATATATAGGTAAGCTATCCATAAAAAAATATTTAAATTTTTCAATTACGTACTGATCATCTTCGAGTACAATATTAATAAACGGATTTTCGTCGTCTCCTTGCTTGTACGTCTTAACATCTTCATAGGTGACAACCTGACCAACAACATCTAAGATATAGATATAGATAAAAGTGAGTAACATAGTTTTACCAATACCATTAATTCGTTACAAATGAAAAGAAGAATTACCACTTAATTCTGTCTCATTGACATCACGTTGATTTGTTAGTTGGTCAAAAGGGCGCAAGATAAAGATGTTCATATTAAATGAGGGATCATTTGTTTCCTCAAAAAATGTCTTTTGAGTAAATGTTAGCCTCAGGTTGTGTGTCGTAGTCCTCAACTTCAGATTATTTGGTCCGACGACAAAGTAGTTCATACGATATAAGCGAAGTTCATGTATCTTGTTCCTAAAAAACTTGAGAACATACTTTCCGATTGAAGCATGTATACGATCACCCTACAAAATCAGATTCATTATTAGCGCGCAATTATAAGCTCGTATATAGCGGAGATCACTGCCTATAATTATCCTACCTATTTCATATGAAAAACCAGAATACTATATAGAGAATTAATGCAACTTAAGTGAAGTTATCCTAAAGATTTTATATCAAAAGCCAAAATACTATATAGAGAAGCTGTATACCATATACATACAAATCTGTAAGATAAAGGCTTTAACGTAGAAGTACATAGAAAACAACAGTCACATATAAGTTTTAGGAGTGAAGATATGCTGAACAATGTATAAGAAGCAGAATGGTACAACAGTTATTTTAAGTTTTATCAACAATCAGTCGCATATAAATTTTATATATACGAATCTTTACGCTATTTTACGAATGATGTTTATGAAGGATACTGTCACGACCCAAACCCCGGTCGTGATGGCGCCCAACACATTGTTAAGCAAGCCCGACCATTCAACAACAAATCTCAACTTATGATAATTCAGTAATTCGTACACAGATACTAAATTACTAAACCATCTTATCAAACTACTATAAGTACGGAGTAGTATACTGAAAACCAACAAAAAAATACTGGAACATAACCCAAAACAGGATCCGGTGTCACGATCACGAGCCTCTAATACAGAGTGTCATCCTATAACAAGACTGTCTAAGAAACATAATAATGAAAGATAGGGATATGAGGGAAGGATCAAGGCTGCGAACGCCATGCAGCTACCTCGATGCTCCCGGTGAAATGCTGCTCAGCTAGACAGGTCCTCCCTCAGACTGTGATGCACCTAAATCTGCACACAAGGTGCAGGGAGTAAAGTGAGTACTCCGACTCAGTGAGTAATAAGCATAAATAATAACTGAAGATAAGAAATCACTGAAAAACACAAGGCAACTATAACGGGCAGTACAAAACCTTTAACAGTAAGACCGGCAAGTCAATAAAGTAATAGTACAGAAAGAACCATGACAGGTAACAGGTAAGGAATGATGCAATGATGCAATGCATCAATATCACATAAAACTGCTGCGGCGTGCAGCCCGAGCCATCCATAAATCCAGAAATCACAATAAGCCCCTCGGGCACTTTTAAATCAGTAATCCACAGCCCAAAATATCATTTAAAATATCATTTGAATTTTCAAGTTAAGAAAAAGGGGCTGAGTTGCAAAAATAGTACTTAAACCTTGGAATGAGGTTAAACAATGTGCAAAGTATGCAAATCAGTGAAATCAATCCCTGAAGGATCCAAATAACCGGCACGAAGCCCAAATACAACAGTCAAATCCAAGTAACGATGATTTCCAACAAGTTCTAGTAGAAAAACACAGTAAAACATCACCGGGACGGACCAAGTCACAATCCCCAATAACCAACAGCCTCGCACTCGTCATAGAGCGCGTGCCTCGCCTCAATATAGCGGTACAATGTGAAATTCCGGGGTCTCAAACCCTCAGTACATCATTTACACCCATTACTCACCTCCAGCCGGCCCAAAATCTAGCTCGCTATGCCTTTTCCTCTCGAATTGACCTCCTCGCGCGTCAAATCTGATCAAAACCACAAGGAATACATTACAATAGGCTAAGGGAATATAACCCAATCGAAAAGACTCGAAAAACACCAAAAATCACGAAGTTGGCAAAAGCCGAGCCCCAGGCCCACTTCTCGAAAAATTATAAAATTCACATCATCAGATTCCTCGTCTCGCCACGAGTCCATACATATCAAATTTACCAAAATCGGAGTTCAAATGCCCTTTCAAATCCCAAATTTTCATTTTAAAAACCAAGCCCTAGTTCTTCCAATTTTTACCCAAATTTCCACGAATTAAAGGTTGATTCTTCAAAAAAATAACGTTTCTAGGTCACGAGACTCACCTTCAATCCATCCCCGTCGAAACCCTCTTCAATTACTCCCAAAAAGCTCTCAAGGTGGTTAACAATGGAGGAAAAATGAATACACTCGCAGATGAAATATTCAAATAAAACCCTTTCTGCCTAGGTGTTTTACTCTACGCGAACGCGGCCACAACCCACGCATTCGCGATGACCAATTATTAAAGCTGCCAAAAATGCCCTTCGCGAACGCGGCATCACCCACGCGAACGCGAAGGCCTGGGTCTTATATCAACGCGATCGCGAGCCCATAGACGCGAACGCGTAGGCCAAATTCTTGGCCCCTTAGATTTCCTCTATGCGAACGCGTGACACCAATCGCGAACGCGAAGCTTCGCCTTTCAATACTACGCGAATGCGACTAAGGAGACGCGAACGCGAAGACCAATTTCCAGACCTCCAAATTCTCCTCTACGCGTTCGCGACCCTACCCACCCGAACGCGATGGGTAAATCTTCTGCAATCCTACTGCTGAAAACCTGCAACATATCAAGTCCAAAAATGGTCCGATTGACCACCCGAAATCACCCCGGGGCCCTCGGGACCCCAACCAAAGGTACCAACACATCCTAAAACATTATTCAAACTTGTTCCAATCTTCAAAACGCATCAAACAACGCTAAAACCATTAAATCACATCGGATTCAGGCTTAAGTTTCTTCAAAACTTCTGAAATACGCATTTTATCAAAAACCCGACCAAGACACCTCCGAATAACCTGAATTTTGCACACATATCCAAAATCACCTAACGAAGCTGCTGTAACTCTCGGAATTCCATTTCGAGCCCCGAATCAAAATCTCACCTACCAACCGAAATTCGCCAAAATACTAGCTTTGCCAATTCAAGCCTAATTCTACACCGGACCTCCAAAATCACTTCCGATCACACTCCTAAGTCACAAATCATCCCCCGAAGCTAACCGAATCACCGGAAATCACATCCGAGCCCTCTAACTCATTAGTCAACACCCGGTTGACTTTTCCAATATAAGCCTTCCTTAAAGAGACTAAATGTCTCATTTTCTACCAAAACCAAACCAATTCGACTCTAACTTACCAAATGCCGATAATAGAACATGAAGAAGCAATAAACGGGGAAAACGGGGCAGTAACACATGAGACGACGGGCCGGGTCGTCACATCCTCCCCAACTTAAACAAACGCTCGTCCTCGAGCGGGTCAAGAAACATACCTGGAGCCTCAAACAGGTGAGGATATCTGCTCCGCATCTCCTGCTCGGTCTCCCAGGTAGCCTCCTCCACGGGCCGACCTCTCAACTGCACCTTCACCGAAGCTATATCCTTTGATCTCAACTTTCGAACCTGACGACCCAAAATAGCCACTGGCTCCACATCATAGGTCAATTCATCATCCAACTGAACCGTGCTGAAGTCTAACACAAGAGACGGGTCCCCAACATACTTGCGGAGCATAGAAACATGGAATACTGAACCCCCGACAAGCTGGGTGGCAAAGCAAGCATATAGGCCACCTCCCCAATCCTCCTAAGTACCTCAAAAGGCCCAATGAACCGCGGACTCAGCTTCCCTTTCTTCCCAAACCTCATAACGCCCTTCATGGGCGAAACCTTCAGCAAGACCTTCTCGCCCACCATATAAGATACATCTCGAACCTTCCGGTCTGCATAACTCTTCTGACGCGACTGAGCTGTACGAAATCTCTCCTGGATCACTTTCACCTTCTCTAAGGCATCCTGGACCAACTCTGTCCCCAATAGCCTAGCCTCGCCGGGCTCAAACCAACCAACCGGAGATCTACACCGTCTCCCATATAAGGCCTCATACGGCGCCATCTGAATACTGGATTGATAGCTGTTGTTGTAAGCAAAATCTGCAAGTGGCAAGAACTCAGCCCAAGAGCCTCCAAAATCAATAACACAGGCACGCAACATGTCCTCTAATATTTGAATGGTACGCTCGGACTGCCCGTCCGTCTGAGGATGAAATGCTGTGCTCAGCTCCACCTGTGTACTCAACTCCCGCTGAAAGGTCCTCCAAAACTGGGAAGTAAACTGAGTACCTCTATCTGAGATAATGGAAACTGGGACCCCATGCAATCGAACAATCTCCCGGATGAAAATCCCTGCCAGCCGCTCCGAAGAATAGGTAGTACACACCGGAATGAAGTGCGCGGACTTGGTCAACCGATCCACAATCACCCAAATCGAATCAAACTTCCTCGAGGTACGAGGGAGACCACTCACAAAATCCATAGTAATCCTCTCCCATTTCCACTCCGGAATATCCATTCGCTGAAGTACACCACCGGGCCTCTGATGCTCATATTTGACCTACTGACAGTTGAGACACCGAGCTACATAACTCACAATATCTTTCTTCATTCTCCTCCACCAGTAGTGCTGCCTCAAATCCTGATACATCTTCGCGGCACCCAGATGAATGGAATAACGCGAGCTGTGGGCCTCTTCTAATATCAACTCCCGAAGCCCATCCACATTGGGCACGCAAATCCGGCCCCGCATCCTCAACACGCCATCATCATCAATAGTCACATCTCTGGCATCATCATGCTGGACCCTGTCCTTAAGGATAAGCAAATGCGGATCATCATGCTGTCGCTCTCTAATGCGGTCATACAAGGAAGACCGAGAAACCACACAAGCCAACACCCGACTAGGCTCCGAAATGTCTAATCTCACCATCCGATTAGCCAAAGCCTGGACATCAACTGCAAAGGGCCTCTCCCCAACTGGAATGTACGCCAAACTACCCATACTAACCGCCTTCCGGCTCAAGGCATCGGCCACTACATTGGCCTTCCCCGGATGATACAGAATGGTAATATCATAGTCCTTGAGTAACTCAAGCCACCTCCGCTGCCTCAAATTAAGATCTTTCTGCTTGAACAAATGCTGGAGACTGCGGTGATCCGTGAATACCTCACAAGATACTCCGTATAAGTAGTTCCTCCAAATCTTCAAAGCATGAACTATAGCAGCCAACTCTAAGTCATGTACAGGGTAATTCTTCTCATGGGGCTTCAACTGGCAAGAAGCATATGCAATAACTCTACACTCCTACATCAACACACATCCGATCCCAACTCTCGAGGCATCACAATACACTGTGTAAGAACCTGAAGCTAATGGCAATACCAATACTGGAGCTGTGGTCAAAGCTGTCTTGAGCTTCTGAAAGCTCTCCTCGCACTCGTCCGACCATACAAATGGTGCACTCTTCTACGTCAACTTGGTCAAGGGCGAAGCAATAGATGAAAAACCCTGAACGAACCGGCGATAATAACCCGCCAAACCGAGGAAACTCCGAATCTCCCTGGCTGAGGATGGTCTAGGCCAACTCTGCACCGCCTCTATCTTCTTCAGATCAACCTAAATACCATCACTGGATACCACGTGCCCCAGGAAAGCCACAGAACCAAGCCAGAACTCATACTTGGAGAACTTTGCATAAAGCTTCTCCTCCCTCAATCTTTGTAATACCACTCTCAAATGTTGTGCGTGCTCCTCCTGGCTACGCGAGTACACCAGGATGTCATCAATAAAAACAATCACAAATGAATCCAGATACGGCCGAAATACATTGTTCATCAAGTGCATGAATGTTGCTGGGGCATTAGTCAACCCAAAGGACATAACCAGAAACTCATAGTGCCCATATCTCGTCCGGAAAGCAGTCTTCATAATATCTGAATCCCTAATCTTCAGCTGGTGATAGCCTGAACGGAGGTCAATCTTGGAGTATACCCTTGCCCCCTGGAGCTGGTCGAACAAATCATCAATACGGGGCAGGGGATACTTGTTCTTCACTGTCACCTTGTTCAATTGCCTGTAGTCAATGCACATTCTCATTGTACCATCCTTTTTCTTCACAAAAAAGATCGGTGCACCCCACGGTGACACACTCGGATGAATGAACCCCTTATCTAGGAGCTCCTGAAGCTGATCCTTTAGTTCTTTCAACTCTGCTGGTGCCATGCGATACGGAGGAATAGAAATGGGCTGAGTGCCCGGCACCAGATCAATACCAAAATCAATGTCCCTGTCCGGCGGCATGCCCGGCAGGTCTGCTGGAAACACATCAGGGAAGTCCCTCACAACGGGCACAGAATCAAGACTAGGAGTCTCAGCTCCGACATCTCTCACGAAAGCCAAGTACGATAGACAACCTTTTCCAACCATCCGCTGGGCCTTTAGAAAATAAATCACCCTGCTGGGAACATAGTCAGTCATACCACACCACTCAATCCTCGGAACACCCGGTATGGCCAATGTGATTGTCTTGGCATGACAGTCCAGAATAGCATGGCATAGAGATAGCCAATCCATACCCAGAATAACATCAAAATCTACCATGCTCAACAGCAACAAATCAACTCGGGTCTCCAGACCACCAATAGTCACTAGACAAGACCGATACACATGGTCTACAACAATAGTATCACCCACCGGGGTAGATACATGCACAGGTAAAGCAAGGCACCCACGGGTCGTACCCAGGTGATGAGAAAAATATGAAGACACATAGGAATAGGTAGAACCGGGATCAAATAGGACAGAGGTATCCCTGTGGTAGACTAAGATAATACCTGTGATAACAGCATCTAATGCAATGGCGTCCCTCCTGTTTGGGAGAGCATAGAATCGAGCCTGGCCACCACTAGATCGGTCTCCACCCCTAGAGCGGCCCCTGGCTGCCTGGCCCCCACCCCTACCTGACTGGGAGGGTGCTGAAGTAGAAGACGAGGGTTGATCCCTCTGCTGAAACCGACCACCACGACGTCGAGGACAATCCCTCTTCATATGGCCAAACTCACTACACTCGTAGCAACTGCCTGGTGCTGGAGAAGGGGACTGAAGGGAACCCCTCACTGCAGAAGAACCCTGGACTGAAGAGGCATGAGAAGAGCTCTGCGTGGGAAGGGCACTAAGTGAAGGCTGGCCCTGCTGAAATCCCTGATGACCACGGCCTGAAGAAGCCCCACTATACTCAGGGCGAGCTGACTGAGGAGGCCTGAAGAAACGACCTCTACCACGCTGGAACTGGCCCCTAGATAGAGCACCACTAAAACTGCCTGAACTCCGAGGCCTCTTGGCCTCCCTCTCCTCATGCTCCCTGCGGCGAATCGCCTCAATATCACGAGCAATGTCAACTACCTCCTCGAACGAGGCACCCAAAACCCTCTCTCTGGTCATCAAAATGCGGAGTGAATAGTTGAGGCCATCCACGAACCTTCTAATCCTCTCCCGATCTGTCGGGATCATCCAAGTAGCATGACGGGCTAGCTGTGAAAATCTCATCTCGTACTGGGTCACAGACATGTCCCCCTGAGTCAACCACTCAAACTGACGACGCAGCTCCTCCCTGCGAGACTGCGGTACGTACTTCTCCAGAAAGAGAGTGGAGAACTGCTGCCATGTAAAGGGCGCTGCACCAACAGGCCTACGCCTCTCCAAATCCTCCCACCATGTAAATGCAGCCCCTGAGAACTGGAAGGTAGTAAAAGCCACTCCACTCGACTCCAAGATCCCTACGGTGCGAAGCATACGCTGACACTTGTCAAGGAAACCCTGGGCATCCTCGCCCTTAGCACCACTGAACACCGGAGGCTGGAGCCTACCGAACCTCTCAAGACGACGCTGCTCATCGTCTGGCATAGCTAGAACCACATATTCTGGAGCTAGTGCAACTGGTGCAACTGGCGCAGCTGGAGCAACTCCCGGTGTTTGCAATCCCTGAACCACCTGCTCAGGTGTGCGACCAGCGGGGGTCTGATGACCTCCCCCGGTCTGTGAAGTAGCTGCTGTAGTAGTGGCTGAGACTGCCTGGGCCAGGCCAGTGCAAACTGATAGTATCTGAGCCAAGGCCTCCTGGAGACCCGGAATCACAATGGGCACTGCTGGTGCCTGCACAGGTGCTGCTGGAGCATCTACAGCTGGAGGCTGGTCCTGAACTGGGGCAGCTGGTGGATCAACAGGTGCTGCCCTCGCTGGTCTACCTCGACCACTACCACGAACGCGTCCACGGCCTCTAGTGGGTGGTACTGGTGGTCCTCCGCCATGTCCGGTAGCACGGGTTCTCGCCATCTGCGAGAGAATAGAGTACAGAAGTTTAGTTCTCGGATCAACAAAGTCGCATGACAAGAATTTCAAGATTATGAAGTTTTCCTAAGGGTTCTGCAGCCTCTCGAGGATAAATAGAAACGTCTCCGTACCGATCCGCGAGACTCTACTAAACCGGCTCATGATTCGCGAGACCAAGTAACCTAGGCTCTGATACCAACTTGTCACGACCCAATCCCCGGTCGTGATGGCGCCCAACACATTGCTAGGCAAGCCCGATCTTTCAACTATATTTCGCACATTGAATGATTCATAATTTCAAGCACGGAGGTTAATACTAAGCCATTTTTATCAAAACTCTAGGAATGCAGAACAATACGCGGAAGTTTAACAAAATACTGAAAACGTAAATCCCAAACTAGGACCCGGTGTCACGAACATGAGCCTCTAATACAGAGTTTCCACCTAATACAGTCTGTCTAGGATGAAATGCAGAACAAAAGAGAATAAAGGTAGGAGGGAGAGACGAAGGCTGCGAACGCCATGCAGCTACCTCAATGCTCCCCGATGCTGCGGTGCTGCTAAACAATCCTCACTCAGCCTGTGGTGCACCTAGATCTGCACACAAGGTGCAAGGAGTAAAGTGAGTACTCCGACTCAGTGAGTAATAAGCATAAATAACAACTGAAGATAAGAAATCATTGAAAAACACAAGGCAACTATAATAGGCAGTACCAAACCTTAACAGTAAAACCGACAAGTCAATAAAGCAATAGTACATAAAGGACCATGACAGGTAACAGGTAAGGAATAATGCCATGATGCAATGCAATGCAGATACCGGAACACTCAGGTACCCACTGTGGCGCACAGTCCGAGCCAACCATATATTTTACGTCGACGGTGCTCACTGGGGGTATGTACAGACTCCGGAGGGGCTCCTACAGCCCAAGCGCAAATAATCAAGCCATCTCGTGGCACCGACCAGGCCCTCAGCCTCAATATCAATATAATACTGCTGCGGCGTGCAACCCGAGCCATCCATATATCCAGAAATCAATATAAGCCCCTCGGGCATTTTAAATCAGTAACTCACAGCCCAAAATATCATTTAAATGTCATTTGAGTTTTCAAGTTTAGAAAAAGGGGCTGAGTTTGCAAAATAGTACTGAAAACCTTAGAATGAGGTTAAACAATGTGCAAAGTATGCAAATCAGTGAAATCAATCCCTGAAGGATTCAAATAACCGGCACGAAGCCCAAATACAACACTCAAATCCAAGTAATGATGATTCCCAACAAGTTCTAGTAGAAAAAAAAACACAGTAAAACATCACCGGGACGGACCAAGTCACAATCCCCAATAACCAACAGCCCCGCACTCGTCATAGAGCGCGTG